GCCAGATGGCGCCTTAACGGTGTTGTGATTCGTGTGGGGGATTTGATACATCTGTGTTAAGTGACTAAAAAAAATTAAGTAAAATTTAATCCAAATCTTTTTATTAGATTTTTTTTTTTGTAAAAATAACAGATGAATTTATTTTATTTCATAAACATTTTAAAAAAAACACACATAATTGAATAAGGACAAAATAAATTATTTTTTTTAAATATTGCTAAATTAACATATTATTGTGAATCAGAATAACATGTTACTATAAGACAGAGTAACATGTTACTGTCAAATAGAGTAATATGTTACTCTTGCTGTTTACATCAATTTCGACGGTAATATTTTTTTTTTTAAGAATTTCATAATCAATATGGATCTTGATAAAAAGATTCTAAAAATATTAATTTTATTAAAAATTGACATTTACATCAAAAGTTATATTATTTTAAAGTTTAATATTTTGATAATAGTGGTATGTGTTAGATTTTTTAAAAAAAACTTTTAGTACTTGTTCTTAATGTATTAAAATTTTATTATAAGAGGATTTTGACCAAATCCACCAAAATTTTAAAAAAATATGGTGAATTGTAATTAGTGAGGAGTACTAACCTATAATTTTTCCTCTCTCACTCAATTTTCTCTCTATATATATGTATGAAGTAAATTACATTTAAAATTAAAAAACATACTAAAAGTGTGACAATTGTTTTATAATTTTATTAAAGTACTGTAATATTTTGTTGATTCTTGAGTGAAAATTTCACAGGAATACCCCATATTTATTATTTTTAAGAGATAATGTAATAGTTAAGAAGTTACTAAAAAGTTAATTGACATTGGAAAAATCATTGAAAAGGTTGTCCGAAAGTCTGGTGGTTGGCAATTAGTGACGATGAGGTAAATCATTAAAAAGTCACTATTTTATTTAAGTCGCATTACATCTTTACTACATCACTTCAAACTTAATCCATATTTTATAAAAGTCCAAAAATATATATATTTAGATCATCTTAAACCACCCCTTAGACTTGAAGACAAATAAATATCTTTTTTGATGGATTAGACATCATTTTGGTCAAAAAAATATTCAAATTTGAGATCTCGTTTGAAATGAATTAATTTAGTATGACTTTTTGAATTTTTAATTATTTTAGTCTACTTAAAAAAGTTATGTTCAGAAGAAATTTTGACTTTTTTTTGTAGTTAATTTGATGATTGTAAAAAAAAAAAGTGAAATAATTATAATTTTTATGTGACATTTTGTCTTATTGACTAAATTAAGATTTGTTTGGCAATGCACTAAATAATTACACTTATTTACAATAAATTGTCACATCACTTCCTTATTTTTCAACATATTTTTTCATAAAAATTCAAAATATTAATAAGCAAACCCCAAAGCCAAAATAATTCATACCAAACAAAGTGTGAGTTTATCGACTAAAAAAATTTAAAAAATATATTTCTGGCTTGAATGTCCATATTTTAATTCACATAATAATTTTTATTTCTTTTAAAAATTTATTAGTTATATAAATAAAAAAATGATATTATTTAATTTTTTATACTAGAATATATATTTTCTCTTAATTTTAATCTCACGAAAGAAGATTAGTATAATTATATTTTAAAATTGTGATTTTTGTTATTTTAAAAAATATATATATAAAAGGACAACGTAATTTACCCATATAATGACGTAACTATTTCTTTATGTGTGCGTGTGAATGTCCCAAATCGATTTTATCACCAAAGATCTTTTAGAGTATTTTTTTCTTAAAGTTTTCTAAAGTGATGTATTGTGTGGTTGAGATTTAATACTGAAAAATTGATGTGATTTGTCATTAAATCTCAACCACACAATACACCACTCTAAAAAATTTAAAAAAAAAAAAACTCTAGGGCATGCTTGCTCCGATTTTACAGTGGAACTGAGCCATGTGGGTAAGCTGTAACGGTCTAGTCAAGCTCAATGTGAAGCTAAAGGAGTCCACTTTTTGTGGTCCATAGTTTGTGTGAGTGTGTAAGCATTATCTGCTTTTGAATTTAGAAAAATGCTTGGGAGTACTAATTAGTGCTCCCACTAATTAGGTGGCAGTGGGTCCCGTCATTAATGATATGATGTTTTGGTCTTGAAGTTTTTTTTTTTTTTTTTTTTTTACTTTTTTAATACATTAGTGCTATTAGTGATGATGTTTTTAGTGGGATGAATCATTGTTGTTGAAAATATTCCATGAAAAATAGGACTTTGTTGTTTATATAAAATTTGACAGGACTAAACTTTTTTGTGAACAAATAATAATTAGTTTAACTTGGTATAAGATCTTTTTGGTTTATGAAAAATGTTGGATTCAAATCTGCATATGATTCTTAACAACGTAAGGAGTTATAAGTTAAAGTGAGAAAACAAAGGAATGGCGGCATCAAAGATCACAACGGTCGGTGAAATCTGGAGATCACGATCTACAGCTCCCATCCCTTGATCTCAATCCCGTCCCGTCAACGCCGTAGTTTTGTTCCTATATGTCCGAACTCTGCGCGGGCTTCGCACTCAATTTTGAAGAAGAACTTGGTCAGAATTCACTAGCGGCGACTTGATCAGTTTTTCAAATATACCATCCATCAACATTCAAGTAAGGCTTTCAGCATCGTCTCTCACCTTCTGATTTAATTTGGGTTTTGTGATTTGGGGGAAGCAAAGAGTAGCTGGTCTTGTTTTTTACCAGTTAAGAAGTTTTCGCACTCCACCTGTTTGATAAAATGCTTTAGTGACAATGCAATGGCACAAGGAGGAAATAGAGGCTGGATTCCGGTAATGAGGTAGCGGGAAAGAGGTGGAGTTCAAGGCAAGGAAGTTAAGCATAGACTATTCACTTTATTTGTGGATAATTTACCTTCAGCTATGGATGCTAAAACCCTGTTCAAACTCTTCACACAGTTTGGCATAGTTAAGGATGTCTTTATATCCTTCAAAAGAAGGACGGTGTCAAACTCTAGATTTGGTTTTGTGAGATTTGACTGCCCTGTAGCAGCAGACATTGCCATCCAAAAAGTGACTGGTCTGTTGGTAGATGAAAGGGTGCTAGAAGTTAAAAAAGCTACCAATATCAGGAGCAACAAAGATGATAAGAGCAGGAGCAGACCTCATACCACCAGAAGACCTCCTGAAACTAACAGAAACAGGGGTGATGTTTCATTTACAGGCCTAAGATCATTCGCTGAAGTGTTAAAAGGGGACACACCCACTGTGGCTGAGAAAGCAAGATTGATCATAAAAGCCAATGAAGAGGGTAATGGATGGTTTTATGATAGTGCAATGGTCAAGCTTAATTCTGAATACTCTACTATTAGCATTGAAAATGTCCTGAAGGAGAAAGGGTTGGATCAGGTAATGGTCAAAAAATGGGGAGGAAGAGATATAGTATTAACCTTCAAATCTCAAGAGGAGCTGAAATCAAATATTTGCAATATCAAAGAATGGTTTAAGGATTGGAGCCAGTTTGTGGTAGAATGGAAGTCAGGTTTTTATTTAGAACAAGAGAGATGTGTGTGGTTGAGGTGTTATGGCTGACCTTTAAGTCTTTGGAATAAGGGCACACTCAACAATATTGGAAGCATTTGGGGTACTGTTCTAAGCTTGGATAGAGATATTTGTCAACCAAAGCCCTTCTCCCATACCAGAATCAGAGTGGCCACATCTTCTATGAAGATTATTAACAAAAATATATTTTTGGAGTGCAAGGATAAACTTCATCCCATTCTTGTGTGTGAAGAACATTTAGCAGATTTTAGTATCATGAAGCACGATGGCTTGGAAGAGTGCAGCTCCAATGAAATCTGTGGCAATGGTGTGAAAGGAACAATTCCAGAGGAATGCTGCAGAGAGAAGGAGGGAAAAAGTGTGATGGAATTAAACATATATAGTTGTTGAGGAGTCAAAGTGTGACGGAGGTTTCAACGGAGAAGATGAAGCTTGTACCAAGGAGGTAGAGCAGAGGACAGGGCCTAGTAATTGTCATTTGGGAGAGGAAGTTAACACAGTTGTCGAGGAGACCATGATGGAGGAGTCAGTGCACAGTCCAAAAATTAATGTTGAGCAAGTCTTTACTCTTGGTTTTCTCAGAAGCTTTAGTGGATCTAAAGATGGGCATGGGCATGGCATCAATCTTGAAATGGATTTGGCCCAAGCACTAAGAATTTAAATGGGAAGCGTTTCTGAGCCTAAATCATTCAGGCTTAGGGAGGCAACCTGCTTTTGTCCCTAAACTCCTGCAAAATGAGAAGAAGAAAAAAAAAAAAAAAGAAAAAAAAATTAAAAAAAAAAAAAGAAGGTTTGGCTAGAGGAGTTCACCAATTTTGCCAGACTTCATGGACATAAAGCTACAGCAGTCAGCAAGCACATCTCTGAGTCTATCATCTTCAGACCAGCAGCAACTGCGATAGCTCGTTCAGATCTGTCTGAGGGTGTTTCTAGCCTGAGCAACCTTCCCCTCAATGAAGCTAAAGCCACTATACAATTGGGTAAATCTCTTGGCATTAATTTCAATGGGAAAGAAGAGGATGTTCTGAATAAGATTATTAAGCTAGAGCTACAGGACAAAGAGAGGTCCAAATAGGAAGGATAGGTCTAAGAAGGAAGTAGGATGGCAATAAGTAAGCAACATTGGAGCATGTAGTGGGTTATATGCTTTTGTTAGATAGTCTTTGGGTGGTGGCAACAAGCTGTTAAGCTAGTTTTTAGGTGGTGGCATCTAGTGTTTGTGGTTCTGTGAGCTAGTGTTGGTTTCTCACCAACACTATGTTTTCCTTTTTCTCCTTTATTTCTCATCCTTATTGATGTATTCTCATATGTAATGTATGGTTTCATCATCAATAAAGATTTTCTTTACTGATCAAAAAAAAAATTGACAGGACTTAATAGTAATCCTAAAAGTAAAATAAAAATTATTGATTATTTTTCCTAATAATAATAAGAGGAAAATACAATTCGGGTAGGGGAAAAAAAACTACAGTGAATTGATAAATCTTTATAAATAATTAAAATTCTAAAGTTTTTCATATATTTGTCAATATTTTTTTTAAACCCCGCTAAATTATAATTTTTCTTAATAACAATGATGGTAAATTATAATTTTTCCTAATAATAATGACGGTGATAATGGTATGGTATGTGACCCAGTCAAGTATCAATTACCCTATTCTGATGGTCTACCATCCATGTCAAACATTCCTTTCTCATTCTCAATCTCTCTTTCTCTCTCCTCTCTCAACGTCTCTCTTTCTCTCTCTCTCTCCCAACTTCCCCATTCATCCTTTCTGCTATCCCTTCCCTACAATGTCCGTCCCCATCTTCCTCCTATGGCTTGTTAGCATCCCTCTCATTGTCCAAGCCGGCTCTGCACCACCTAGAGGTAACCCATTATTCCACTACCACCTCTCTCTCTCTCTCTCTCTCCATGCATATTTGCGTACATAACATTATCATACAAACACCTACATAAATACACAAGTTTATTTTAAACAACAACATCAAGTATTGAAATATCAAGTAATACGTATTAAAAATATTGGGTATTTTGATAATATAAAATTTTAAAACCAGAATACATGCAAACACATCTACTCTATTAAATAAAATATAGAACACATAACAATTTTAAAGATTCACACCCTCCCCTCCCAAAAAAAGAAAAAAAGAAAAACTAAAAATGTTTATTTCTTAACTGTTTTACTAAATAACTGCTAACAGTTTTCAAATGCAACCAATCTAGGTTTCCTGCTAAATTGCGGCTCGGACAATGAGTTGCAGGAAGGAGGCCTGAAATACATCACCGACGATGGGTTCATAACGGTGGGAAACAAAACCACCTTGAAACAACCTGGTCTCCACATGGTGTTATCCACACTCCGGTATTTCCCTGACAATGCGGCTCATAAATACTGCTACGTATTCCCGGTGATCAAAGGCGGGAAATTTCTGGTGAAAACAACTTACTACTATGGAGGCTACGATGGAGAAAAAGAACCACCAGTGTTTGATCAGTTCATCGATGGAACCAAGTGGAGCATGGTCAACACCACAGAGGATTACGCCAACGGTCTGAGCTCGTTTTATGAAATCATAGTGACGGCGCACGGGAAGACGTTGAGCGTTTGCTTGGCGAGGAACCAGCACACGGTGTCGAGTCCATTTATTTCGGCACTTGAGTTGCAGCATTTAGAGGATTCGCTTTATAATTCCACCGATTTTGACAACTATGCTTTGAGTACCGTTGCCAGGAATTGCTTCGGATGTGAAGCCCAAATCATTAGGTAATTAATCTCTCTCTCTCTCTCTCTATTTGTTTGTGTTATTGTTTTTTGTTTGTGTTTTTATGGTAAATCATTTCTGTATTTTACATAAAATCTTAATTTGTTTTATAGCCTTTTAATCGTCTCATTAATCCCCAACTTCAAGTCAACGTACAATTGGGTTCAGTTGGGTTTCAAAAATTGATGAAAAAAATTGAAGTGTAGATGTTAATAGTGAGATTTTAGACCTCGTTTGGAATAAATTAAAAAAAGTCAATATTGGTTTATTGATTTATTTAAGCCATATTTCTTTTTTACTTTTTTATACGTTTTTTCATAATATAAAAAAAAATCAACTTATAAGTCATATTAAAAAACATCCTAATGAAAACCCAAGAGTGTTAGACTGAAATGAAATTTTGATAAAAATATAAAGGTGCTAAATATAATTAATACCATTACATTGCTATTGTTAGTTAGTTTTCGAAACAGGGTTAGACAAATGGATCAAATTGTTATTTGACTCGAAATTTAAAAATTGATTGAGACAATTAAAATGTTAGAAAATAAAGTGAGATTAGATATAAGGTGTGAGATAGAAAAATGTGATCAGTCCATTATTTCTTGTATGCTTTTTACATCTGAATTAAATTTTTAGTAATCTTTCTTAAAACATATCCCTTGATTGAGGATTAATTGCACTTTTTATTCTTATAATTTGATATAAATTTAACCGACAATGCTACGTAGCTCAAATTTTGTGGCTCAAAAGTGGCTCAAATGGCCAAAACGACGTCGTTTTGAGTACAGAATAACATAAAAATGGCCAAAACGACGTCGTTTTGGCCATTTGAGCCACTTTTGAGCTATAAAATTTGAGCTACGAGACATTTTTCAAATTTAACTTTAGTCTCTATAGTCTCATATTGAATAATTCGGTCCCAACACTTCATGTGTAATTTTAATTTGGTCATTCCATCCAAAATTGAATGTTACAATTAACAATTTTGAGATATTTGTCAATTTTCTAAGGTGTACACCTAGACAAAACTAATAGAAATTTAAATGAAATGACTGAATTAAAATTAGACTTAATGTGTAGGGATTAAATTACTAAAATTAAAATAATAAAAATCAAACTAAAATTTGAATCAAACTAAGAAGTGTAAGAGAAAATTACATGTCAGGGTTTGTTTGAAAAAATATTTAGAAATTAGTGATAAATTTTAAAATATCATTAAAATCTAAAATGATAAACTTTTCCATCAACTACTAATTGACAAGTAATTGAACTTTTGAATGTTCCAGTGAGATATAAATTCCCCCAAGTGTAATTAAGCCCTTGCTTGATTGATTACCTTGTAACACTCACTGACCATTGAACACATGAAAAACTAGTTTTCCAGACGACCAATTCAACCGCTTCTGGACACCCTTCAAGGACAGCAATCCCGTCGTCACAAGCCGCTCCAACATAACAGCCTCCGAATTCTGGAACATTCCTCCGGCAAAGGCCCTGTCGGCCGCCATCACGACAAGCCGAGGCAAGAAACTGACAGTCAAATGGCCTCCATTTTTGCTACCTAAAACCAACTACTACATTGCACTCTACTTCCAAGATAACAGGAATCCGAGTCCATATAGCTGGAGAGTTTTCAGTGTTGCTGTCAACGGAATGGACTTTTATACTGATATTAATGTCACCACTAAAGGAGTGAGTGTGTATACGGCTCACTGGCCGCTGGCCGGACAAACTGAGATTGTTTTGACTCCCCATAGCGATTCGCCAGTGGGGCCGCTCATCAATGCCGGGGAAGTGTTTCAGATTTTTCCTCTGGGGAAAAGGACTCTCACTAGAGATGGTATGGTATCCCTGCCTCTACTTTCTTCATTTTCACTTCTCCTTTTGCTTGTTTGATTGTGTTTAAGTTGAAAATTTGTGCAAGCAAAAAATTTGATACAAGTTTTTCATAGCATCAACACAAAATGATTGTAATATCATACAAGTGCAAGCAATTAATGCATTAGATTGTGCAATTAAGATTTGTACTTCCATCTCTTAGCAATTATTTTGAGTCTATACCATTTTTTTTGCAATTATCCCTTAAAATTACAATGACCAAAATGACGTAAAAGACAAATTAATTTGCGCTAATTTTTTGTGATTGAATTTTGTTTATATGGGCATATTTTTGCAGTGATAGCTATAGAGGATTTAGCAAGAGGGTTTGACAACCCACCTGGAGATTGGCATGGAGATCCATGTCTACCTGAGAAGCATTCATGGACTGGAGTTACTTGCTCTATTGGTGCAAAATATGCCCGAATTGTTTCTCTGTAAGTTCACCAGATTTATATTAGGGTACATTACATGTTTAATCCCTATAATTTGACTCAAATTTTACTTTAATTCATATAGATTTAAATTAAACAATTTAGTTCCTACACTTTAAATGCAGTTTCAATTTTGTTCTTCCGTTTAAATTAATGATTTTCAATTTGGCATTAGACAAACCAAAACATGATACTCATTCCAAAATCAAATTAATTATATGGAAGTCATGATCCAGATAACAAACACATGTATTGTTTAAATTCGATTATGTTTAATTTGGGTACCCTTTTTTTTCTGGTTAAATGAAGAAATTTAACCAATGTTGGGCTCATAGGAGAGTTGGCTGAGAGCGTAGATCATTTAACTGCACTTACAAGTCTGTAAGTACACAACCCTATTTTGCTACCTCTCTTGAATGATTCATTGTGTCATTCAATATATAGAAAGTCTGTTAATTGGAAATGTATTTTGTTACAGTACGCTTGAAGGCAACAAACTCTCAGGTTCAATACCAAAAATGAGCTCTTTGAAGTCCCTTGAAATATTGTAAGTTTCCCCTATAAATTTCTCAATTTTCACAACAAATTTCATATTTATTGGCAAAACCTAATTAAATTGGCTTTGTTGATGATCAAATAAAGGCATTTGGATGGAAACCAATTCCAAGGAGAGATCCCTGAGTCCCTCGGTCAACTTACTCATCTTCGTTCCCTGTATGTTTCTACCGCTGATAGAAGCCATTTAACAATCTAATCTAGGCCTATCAACGGATCGAATTTAATCTGAATCTCCTAATGAATATCTTATGCCAGATTTAGATCCAACCTCAGATTTGTTGATAGACCATCTAATATCCAATTGCATATGAGTAACTCACTTGGTTTGATGATATGCTTTGGTTGACAGGCAACTCCAAAATAACTACCTCAATGGCAGCGTACCGAATTCACTACTGAAGAAAAATGGCTTAAACCTCCAGTAAGGAAAATATATATATATATATATTACTCAACTTTTGTTATACAATTTCTAACAAAAACTTGTTCAAATGCATACAATTGATGGTGTTTTTGCTTCAGGATTACACCGGGAAATCAGCTGGCGACAGCACATTAATGCTAAAGAAATATGTCCCGGAGAGAGTAGCAGATTTTTCTGAACTGGTTTTGAGGTGATTGGGAAGCTTTTAGCCCAAATGAGATCATAAAGTTTGATGATGGAGAAGATGGTCACAGAGGGTTGGGAGAGGGAGAGGGAGAGAGAGGGAGAGAGAGAGAGATGCATAGATCTTAATGCACCTGTTTGAATTGGGATGGTCTATGTGTGGATACTTGTGTTTTTACCCTGTAATTGTGCTTTTATAGCAGCATAGAGTTGAATCAACAATTCTTGAAAACACCCATTGTGGTAAAATGACTAATGAAAGTTTTACTTTTTAAAATGTTCATTTATTTTCATAAATCTAAGATCCAAACATAGCATAGACTTCTTGCAGAAATACTGAACAATTACTAGAAGGTGACTTCAAAATCTCCAATTGTTCGGAGAAAGTAAGACATTACTAATTATAGATGAATTAATGATAAAATTAGAAGGCAGAGTAGACTAATAATTAATTGAAGCTACTCAAGTTTAAAATTTCTCATATCTCTAGAATATCATCGTGTTAGACTGTAGGCTACCATCTTTAATGTTTAAAAAAAGGGTTAGGCTAATCATATAAAATTAATTTTTGCATTTATATTTTGGAATCTCTATTGCTACTTGATTTTTTTGAACAGATCTATTGCTACTTGATGGAATAATCATTTTTATAATGAAACTATTAATCTACCATACACCATCTATGACTGTCAGAAGGATTTTGAAAGCCTAGTGTTACTTGATCAAATAGTATTGGCATAGCAGTAGGATGTGGGAGCTCATTCCACTGGATTAGGTAAGCAAGTTTCTATGGGGTGATGTGGTCGCTATCTGTTGGCATCATAAATTTGAATTCTTCTATCGATAGGGGCATAACCAAGTGCAATAAGGGTCCAAAAGTCAAAGGCATGAAATTAGTGGCCCAAGAAGGAGGATTGAGGGTGTGACACACGGCAACCCCAGAAAGAAAGAGAATTCAAGGCAGTCATAATAGTTACAGCAGTCGCAGCAGTTGCAAATCATGGGTAGATAAAGAAAATCGACAAATGGACACATGGCAGCATGGCATGGCCAGTTAAGCCATATAAAAGCTAGAAATTCGAAGAGAAAAAGGCTTTCAACCAAATTCACAACTCATGTGAAGTCTAGGAGTAGTGTAACTTATCTAGGAATAGTTCTGGCACTTAGGAATAGATTATCTGTAATTAAGTGTTTGTAACATAGTTTGGACTTGTCGATTGTAATGTTATTTGAACTTGTAATTTGATTCTTGTAATTAAATGACAAGTTTAAGTGTTATCAATCAAATTTGTTGTTTGTTTGTTCTTGTTTCTTCATATTACAACCTCCAAAGAAGTCCTTAAATCTGTCAAGGCATAAGACACCAACCACATTGCTTAATTGTATTTCTGTTTGCGAAATTGGTTTTCCTGTTGAATCTTCTCTGTCAATTTGACCTAAACCAGATTTTTACTAACATATTTTGGCATGCCCAGTGGAACCTGTCTAATTTGGAGTGATGGCTAAGAAAAAACAACATGAGATCTTTGGTGAGTCTGAATGAGTTAAAGACAGCATAGATTATGGCTATTCAGTGGCTGGACAAGAAGTAGGCCAAGGGAATAGCCAAAATGTGGCCTTTGAAGGCCAAACAAGTAGTCCTCCTACAGATCCAAGGAAAGCTCTTCTACTGGACACTCAGCAAACAATTGGTTCTATGTCTTCACATGAGAACCAGATGATGGTTGATGAACTATTGGCTTTGTTCAAGTAGGCCAATATTAAACCCAGTCAGTCAAGGAAAGCCATGAAAGAGACTCAAGTAAACAAGGTACAATGTGGTCCTTCTATAACTCCTCAAAAACATACAATTGTAAATGAACATGTATCATTTTATAGACCTCCTACACTTCAAGAAAGATATGAAGAGAGATGAATATGAATCCTATGTTTGAATATACAGAGATGAGAGAATATCCTCCAAACGTAGTCTTTAATTATAATCCAAATGACTTAGGACCGAGGCCTAGGGGGCTACCAGGACTACAAGTGTATGACAATTATGCATTTGATAGGCTTGCAGTGGGCCATTATGGTATGGAAAACCAAAGGCATAGGCCATTCAATCAAGTTAGGCCTCAAAATATGCAAGGCCATGTCATGCAATAGCCATACTATGGCCCCGTTTGGTAGAGCTGTGGGAAAGTGATTATAACTTATAGCCTAACAGCTTATACCTTATAGCTGTGAATATAAGCTAATTTTTGACTTATAAATTAAGTTTCTCCTCCCCCACTTAAAGAATAAGTTGATTTTTGACTTACAAAAAGTTATAAGCTGTATTGTTAAGCTGAACCAAACACATCAAAATAGCTTAAATTAAGCTAAAAGCTAAAATAAGCTGGAAATA